ATTCTAATGCTTAAAGTATCATGACTGACATCACAGTAATCATAAAAACCAAAATTAGTCTATATTCCAAATAAAAAAGCTCCCCACCAGTCAGCAGAGCACTATGATTGGGTCAGGCAAATAAATTATTAAGGACACTAGCAGCATCTAGGTTGAGAGTTTGGCTGCCTAATTGAGGGAAGAGCACTAGCCCTCTGCCTGAGCTGTGCTCACCTCACTGCTTGCATTTTCCTTGCTATCTCTTCTTGGATTCAGAACATTGCCTGGCTTTTGTTACCTGCCCAAGTCTTATCTGTTCCACTGGGACTTGCTCCTGTGTCTGCCCAGTTCTAAAGTTGGACAAGGTTCTCTCTCCTCACTGAAAGTCCCCTCCTTCTTTCTAGGAGTCTGTTTCTGTTGGATTCCACACTTCAGGGTTATTCTTTGAGTCCTAGATCTCCTCAGTGTCTTGTTTCTGTAAATACCAACATCAGGTTCACGGAAGTAGAATTCAGTCCTCCCCCATCGCCCACCAAATGGCAATTCCAATGTTTAACTTGTGTTTGTTGCGAGTATTAAATACCTCTTAAATATGAAGCGTCTGCTATGCTTCATAACTGGAGCAGCCCATGTGTGGACTTTCTGTCCCCTACAACTATTTTGCTCATCCCCTGACTCCCAGACTGATTTGCTGGACGTGTCTCCTCCCAGCCTCTCTCTCCTGTTGACTTTGTCTCTCCCCTCTCCTCTTTCCTAGTTCTTTATTATGAAACTCACTGTGGCCCCTTTCCTAAATTCCATGGGCCATTTCTCTGTCCATTTCTGATTGTGCTGTGATATCTACAAGTAGGGTAGCTGCTCTGGCAGTGAAATTGAAGAGTGGGGAAGAGCAAGAAGATGAGCTGACAAACACAAGGTTTGCTTTTCTCGATGGGAGGAGAAAAGAAGATGAGAAACATTTGTATGTTAATCTTTTTTTAAACAATCCCTTTAGGAAATAGTAAAATACCACATATGAATGAATGTTTTCACCGTAATCAAGGAGCCAAATCACATCTGAGCCCACCTTTAAAGATCACTGAGGAACTCAATATCAATATATTTCTGTGGCTTCTTTTCCCTCCCACCCTCCTCCCCCTTTTGTTAGATCAGGATCCTGAGCTCTCATTATCCAGGAGAAATAGGAGAGAAGATTTAGCTATTGATCATGGACTCTACCACCATTCTACCTGTTCAGATTGCTGGGATACCTGAGGGGAAGTCCGCCTTCTCCATTCTCTCCATTCCAGACTCATGCCAGGCTGGGGGCAAGGGGCCTCATTCCTCCAGCACAGACCATGCCACTTGGTGTCCTGCTTCCATGGACATTCCCTTGGTCTTCTCTGTGCTTGATCTTATATCTGGAAGACTAGAAGCAAAAGATGTTTTTGTGCTACTCACAGAAGCTATAAGGGTGTTGCACATGGCTTCAGAGGCCAGCGCATTAGTATAAATCAGTAACTTGGGTATGAACCAATATTTTACCCCATGTTGAATAGAAAAGTAACTATGGATCTAATGTTATCAGATTTGATTCTTCAAGAGAAACAGAAATTCATGATTTTCACATGAAATCTGTTTTTAACTTGCTGCCAACTAACAAAAAAATTATAAATATTTGTGGGTTAAGATAATATGCCTATGATCCAGTTGTACCCCATCCCCTCACTGGCTGTTTGCAAACTGGGCCTCAGAGCCAAATTATTATTCACTGGAAACTGGCCCCTTCCTGCATTTCTCAACTGTTATCCATGAACTACCCCCTTCCATCTCCCACATTCCCTGGGAGTGTAGGGAATTCAGACGCTAAGAACACAAAACCCGAGAGCCTTTCCTTTGGGATCAAAGAAACACTGCCATCGTAAATGTTTTTAAATAGTTATGTTTTATTGTGAAGTATAGCATAAATGTCGTATAAAAACAAACATGCTCACGAGCCTATGTCAGAAAATAAAATGTATTCCAGAAGTCTCCTATACCCTTCTCTATCTCATCATCTCTTCCAAAATATCAACCATTATGAATTTTGTGATAATTATGCCCTTGCTTCTTTACAGATTTATCACATACGTAAGTACCTTAAAACACATTGATTAGTTTCATGTACTTTGTACTTTTAATATCTTGAACTAGAAAATCACATGTTCTTCTGTGATCTGCCTCTCTTAATCAATATTATGATTAAGAGATTCATGTATGTGATTCATTATAATTGCAGGTTATTTCTTCTGTTGTATATCACAGTTTATTTCTACCTTATACCGTTTGTGGGCATTTGGATTGCTTTCAATGTTTTGCTCTTATTAATAATGCTGTGTAAAAATTATTGCACATTCTCTTCTGGGATATGAATGGAGGAGTGTTTTTAGAGTATGTTGTCCAGTGAGGTTGCTGGCTTGGAGGATAGGTAGCTGGTCTATTTTGCCAGCTACAATTTTATGAAAGTCCTTTAGGCAAAGTAGTTGTTTTCTACAAACTATTTTCTATGGTTACTGTGCCAATTTACCTCCCATAGATAGTGTGTAAGATTTCTTGTGGTTTTACATGAATTACTAGGTCATTCATGACATTGTTCAACTGAAATTTTTATTTTTTCAAATGAGTCCAGCTGAGTTTTCATTAACGCGCTATGATAGGTAGGTGGCATTACAGAGGAGAAATCAGATTTTGAAGTTTTAAAGAATCCAGTGTTATCATTATTTTGAATTTGTTGTGTTCTAATAATAATTCAGAGATTCTTAAGAGTATAGCTCTCTCTCAGTTATTAAGACTACCATGAGGAAAGCTTTTTATCATGATGGTTTAGAAGAATATTTTTCATTTTAGTTTGAAGCCATTCATTATATTTCCATCTCAACAATATAAACATTGATTACAAATTGTACAATTCAACTATTTACCTTGTAAACAACTCTATCTTAATGACACAGAAAATTTTTCTTTTATTCTGTTAGTTTTGATTGACGACTTAGTCTTAATGTTCTGAAAAAGTATATAAAATAATAGGATCTGTTCTAAGTCTCAAAAGATTTGATTTTTCATGCATCAGCTTTTAAAACAGAGAATGCAAGGTCTTCTGAAACATGTATTAAATCTATACTTTTTAACTTCTTCCAAGTATACAACCCAGTAACTGAAAATTAATTCTCCCTAGTCCAAAGACAGGGTTAATTCCCGACACTGCAACAATTTGTCATGAAGTGATATTTGTAGAGAGCTAAAATAGCACGACAACGCAAAGCCTTCTGACTTGTGGGATTTTGAACAAAAAGGTTAAAGCTGCATTCTGCAGCCAAATTAGCAGAGGCCATATCAATAAGCCCAGGAACTGGAACAAAACAGGAGCAGGCCTCAATAAAATTAAGCAGTTGAAAATAAAAAGTCAGGTAAATAGGAGCCTTCAATCCAGTTTCTTAAGTTCCTGAAGCTTACAGCTGCCTGACACATTATTATAAGGGCAATGCCTTTCACAGTCCCTTTGGACTGCCTGCACCTCCACACACTCCTACCTTTGAAACATCAGATCCTTCTATTTCAAAGACTGGACAGTGTTTATTCTGGAAAAATGCAGGAGCCTGTTTTGTGTCTTCAAGCATCTGGCTCAGGGAGAATGTGGGCTGGTGTAGCTCATAAGACCTCTCTCAGGTCCCTCCTAGCCTGCTCCAACATCCCTACCCCAAAGCTCCTGGATGTATTGAACAGAGAGATGCATGGTTTGGATTTGGGGGGCAGAAATTTTCACACATGCCACACAGAGATCATGGAAGTAAAATGAGGGTGATCAAAATTACTGCTAAGACTAGAGTTTCTGGGAAATGAAATGTGTTCCATAGAGCTGATCCAGAAATGTGTTCCATAGATCTTATCGCTGTTTCAGAAGAGATCTAGACCACCCTAAAGTTGTGGACTCTGCTCCCACTGTGCCTGCAGGGTTGACGATGCTGGGTTGCTGCCTCCTGAGCCACCCCCACCCCCAAGGACATGCTGCCCCGCCCAGCCAGAGAGGACAGGGCCAACTGTGTGTGGAGAACTCAGTCAGCAAGGCAATGCCTTTACTGAAGGTTCTGGCATTCAGTTGGAGCAGAGATTCTCAGATTCTCTGCTGGGAGCAGAAGAAATCTCAGTTGGGAAGAGAAGCTCAGCTCAGAGGACAGTGTCACAGCCTGGGACGCCTTGTATATAAAGACAGTAGAAAGAAAAGGAAAATGCAAAGACGGTGATGAAAGGAGAAAGGGGTGGGAGAAGGTAGTAAAATAAAAAAGCTTCAAAGGGAAGAGGAAAGAGGAGAAGACTGAATGTGAAAAGAGATCCTAGATCCTAGATAGGATTTGGTCCTGAATTTAAGTTTTGTTGCGATGGTTGGGAGGTGATGCCAGGCCTGAGAGCCTGATGTGCATTTCTTCCTTCCCGTAGTTGCATCCTATGGCCGTGCTGCTATTTCTGCGGCTGTTTCAGGGTCAGCTCCACCCGTAATACCTAGAGCTTATTGGAAGGTTGGATGGTAATAGACAAATAGAAAACAGGCCGCCGACCTTTTAGTAACCTCTGAACCTCCTATTATTATTTTCTTCTAAGTGTCCTTGAATGTTTGGGTTAGAAATAAAATCTCAGCATATTTGTCGATAGACATACATGAGTACCCTTCGCACTTTACCTCTGACAGAATAAATGCAGGAGAGAAATGGAAAACGTAGCCAAATGGGAAAGGTTTGAAAACAAAAAGATTTCTGTACAACAGTGGGATTCATTTATGAGATTGTAAATTAAACCATGATCTGGTTTACCACACTTTAGCTTGTGAAAAATATTGCAGTGGGTCCTAGAAAAAGAGAGACTGTAGAGACAGGATTCTTCTAGTCTCTGTGTTGCCCAAACACAACATCTACCTTATACCTGCTCTTTCCTGGGTAACTGCTACGTTGGCCATTAGGGGCTTTGTTACCCTAATGAAGTGTTCTTATTAACATTCTAGGAAATCTACAATGGAAGAAGTTGGACAGAACCCATTGTATGATGAGAATAATGAAAGCATTCAGTACAGCAACCATTATGGGGAGGGTTCCGGCAATCCAGTAAGGAGGAATACCTGAATTGCATAAGACATTGTGTCCTCAAGTCTGGGGGTCTTTCTAGGGAGAAGAAACACTGGTTTTAGTTCTCTGCATTTCATCAGACTAATAATGGTGGGGTTTTCAGCAACGCCTAATGTCCCAAACAGCAAATCAGTCTTCTTTGGGGAAAAGATCCCCCCTTGTGCCTCCCATCCAGCCCATGCACCTGCCCTGACTCTCAAGTTTGAGTAAAGGGAATCCCAAGAAGGTCCTCTCCCTTGCAGGTGTCATTCGGATTCCACACTCTTTATATAAAATTTTTGAAAACTATGTTAGAATATAAGTGTTAGTATAAAAAAAACTTCTTTTGCTTCATAAAAGGTTCATGTTTCAGTGGGTTTGACTTGTACTATTTAACACTAAAATGTGATTCAACTCCAGGAATTATGCAAAACACTGTAGAAATCTATTTATCGTGGACCATAGAGCAGCCTGGGTGAGGCTCAAAAACAACCAAAGCTGGGGAATGAATGAGATCATAGGGGAAAGTCTTTTCAGGGCTCTGCTGTTTTCCTGTCCTGACTTAGGTAATGAAAATGATTTTTCTGCGGGCAAAAGATGATGGGAATACTGACATTAGAAGACAAAAGAGAACCTTGACTACCTGAGCTTAGACCTTGAAAAGGACTCACAGAGACTGGATGAGGCAAATGAGGTTCCTCTTAGAAAAAATTCAAAAGAAAACAAAAACTATTCAAAGGTCAGCCTTTGCAGTTGGTGAGAGGAGGGATTCCTCTCACTTGCATGTCCCTTGGGATACAGAAGAGGTGGGAGGAAGCTTCACTTTGAATCTTGGCATATTATTTAAATCCCGAAACATGAATCCTAGTGCCCTCATGTAATCCATATACAGAGTTTTTAAATTTCCCCATTAGGTTGACATTTTATTGCCACTGCATTCGGTATTTACTCCCAGTCCCTCAGACTTAGGCAGCAGCTTCTCCAGCTAGGACCCTGGCAGCTTTCTCAGAACTGATCCACACCCAGGTGACTTTACATTTTTCACTCTGGAAAGAGAGAACACCCTGTCAATAGAACAAGCCAACGAGCAGGACAAGTTGAACCATCTCATATCTAAGCAGGAGGAAACCCTGATAGACCTGAAATCAGAGGCAACAAAGTGGTAAGATGTCTAGAAAGGCACCACTGGGTGCATTTTGTTCCTGTTCTGCCTCTTTCCCAAGGGATCATCCCACATTCACTGCTTCTGTACTGTAGAAATCATAGCTGTTTACAAGAGTGCTCAGGGAATGATCACGCAGCATGGGGGCCAGGGCTCTGTGCCCAGATCCCCTGTGTGGGGTCAGAGCTCACTTTTCCCACCTGATACACTTATGTCCAAATATTACATCATGGCCTGGTGGGAGGGAGGGTGTGAGAGCAGAGCAGCTCTGACCCCCTGACTTCCTTCACCCCCCAGGAAAGAAGAATAAGATCCTGTGCAGGAATGTGATGAAGCTTCAGAAAAGGGTAAGGGAAGCTCTGGGGTTTTGAGTCCCTAAGAACATCATATGCACAAGAGAAAGGCTGGTGGGGTGGGCTGGGAGGACGCAAGAGGGGTCCTCGGCACATTCAGAGTAGGAATACAGATAGACACTCATGGAAGGGCTGATGTACACACTGTAAATTTCACCCTTGAAATAAGGCTCCTTTCTTAGGAACCCCAGTAGAGTTGTCTTCTTCCTGAGCTCTTCAGTCAGAAAGACTGGAGAAGGGGTAAACAGCACATCCTTTGCCCTCCCTCACCCCTTCCACCTTCCAAAGCTTAGAACGCACTCTGAGTAACGCCACCATTTGTTTCTAGGAATTACAGATTGTGGTAAGAGGGATAAGGGTCTGTAGAAGGAGAAAAGATTCCTCAACCACTGTGCCCTATTCTCTCTTCTTTCTCCACCCTCCTTTTCCCCCTGTGCTGTAGGGCTATGGTAACAAAAAGGGCTGCCCAGCTTGCATGGAGTCAGGACACCTCGATAGGGAACAGGACATATTTTTTCATTAAACTTCTGTCTGGGACCTGAATTACATAACTGCCATTCTGCAGCCTAGAGCTCCAAAGTCTGCCCCCTTCCTAGGTTGTTATATTTATGTAAGTTACTTAGTTCATGATTTGGGGGAATGGTATTTCAGATTTCAAGGAGATTAAAAAATGTCAGCCTTGAAAAAGGAACCCTAAAGCAGATCCTGGCAGAAGTGAAGGTGAGTAGAAAAGAAAAGCTGGAGGTTTTCTGGTAGATATGAAGTCTTACAATTAAGTTTGCAAAACTGCCACTGCCAAGGTTATGTCATAACCTTGGTTTGTCAGTGACTCACAGCTGTGTTCACATTGAGATGTGGTGGTGTCTTGCTGAGTGTAGATTTGTTTGAGACAGAGTCTTACTATGTCACCCTCAGTAGAATTCTGTGGTGTCACAGCTCACAGCAACCTCAAACTCTTGGGCTTAAGCGATTCTCTTGCCTCAGCCTCCCAAGTAGCTGAGACTACAGGCTCCTGCCACAATGCTCAGCTATTTTTTTGTTGTTGCAGTTTTCACTGTTGTTTAGTTAGCCCAGGCCTGGTTTGAACCTGCCAGCCTTGGTGCATGTGGCTGGCACTATAACCACTATGCTACAGGCACCGAGCCAACGTCCATTATTTTTGTTGCATGTTTTGTTTGTTATCAACAGAATGTCAGAGCTTAAATTAGAGCAACAAACAAACATTCAATTTCTTATTAAACTTGGAAAGAGTAGAAGTGAATGGGGATAATGCCATGAAGAAAATGGCAGTGTACAAATAGATTCAATATTTTTCAGAGGGGATAAAAGCATCTCAAATGAAGAGATGTCAGAATGGCCAGTAATGAGCAGAAGTGATAAAAACATTGCAAAAACTTGTCAAATTGTGCATCAAAATCATTGGCGGACTGTAAGAAGCACAGCAGACCAAGTAAGCATTGAGGCATGAATGAGGTTATGAGGTATCACTAGTGGTGAAACATGGATATACCAACATGACCCTGAAACCAAGCATCAAAGTGCACAATGGAAGTCAGACAATTCTCCATGCTCCCTAAAATTCTGTCACTCCAAATCAAGAGTCAAAATGATGTTTGATGTTGCTAATCTTTTTTTATAACAGACATATTGTTCACTATAAATTAGTAACAACTAAACAGTTAACCAAGTTTGCCATTAGGAACTGCTGAAAAGACCAAGTGAAAAAGATGAAATGAACCTGAACTTTTCTCCAACTCATGACTCCTGCATCATGACAATGCACCAGCCCACACAACACTGTCTGAGGGAGTTTTTAGCCAATAAACAAATAATTGTATTAGAACATTCTCTTTACTCACCTGATATGGCCCCCAATTACTTTTTTTTTCTTAACCCAAACATAAAGAAAATATTGAAAGGAAGAAATTTTTATGACATTCAGTACATCAAGGGTAATAAAACAAAAGTGTTGATGGCCAATCCAGAAAAAGAATTCCAAAGTTGCCTTGAAGGGTGGACTAGGCCCTTGTGTTGGTGCGTAGCTTCCCAAGGGGAGTACTTCAAGGGTGACCATAGTGATATTCAGCAATGAGGTGTGTAGCACTTTTTCTAGGATGAGTTTGTGAACTTAATTGCCAGACTTTGTATGTCAATTCTACTTTCTGGGAGAAATTGCTCTCAAGGAGTCCCACGGGCTATGTACTATTATGTCCACATGCTTATCAGATGTGAGCCAATGTCCTTTATTTCCTGTACCTAATTCCATGGTCTTTGAGACATTCATATAATTATTACTTAAGGAGAGATGACTTCAATGTATCAAAGTGGAGGGGAATACTCAAGACTCCTCATCACTTATCAGTCAATAAACACACATTCCTCATAAATGAGGACACACAAATATAAAAATTCAAGTAGGAAAGAAATGTTAAATCTCATAATTATACAGGGATATGTCATGACCTTAATTGATTTCCCAATCCCTGGATCAAAGACCAAAGAAAACTTTTTTTATTTATTATTATTTTATTTTTCTCTACTAGAAGGCAAACCTACTGAAAACAATTTTTTTCTATGTTGTCACTGTTGTGACAAAAGTCACAGTGCCTGGCATATAGTAGATGTCCCATATCTGTTGAATTAATGAATTGGAATTGGCAAACGCCCTTTTAGGAAGCTTTCTGCAGAATGACATGGCAAATATGATGAATTCACAAGACCCATCATGCAACACCCCCACTGTCCTGTGTTTTTCTCTAAAGAAGAGCAAGGATTTTCTTTTGTTTCCTGTGTGATTCAGAGGGAACACCAGTGTACCGTGCAAAACATGAATGGGAAAAAGAGCCTGAGGAGCTCAGTGAATATGGGGAGTCAACCTACTGATGCTTAAATGTCAGCTCTACCACTGTATGATTTTTAAATTCTCCATGCTACTATCTCATCTGTAAAATGGTAGTTACAGTACCCACCCGAAATTGTTAATTTCATATGTCAACACATGATAGGCATTATTCGCTTGCTCTCTGCTAGTCCAGAGAGGGTGATAATTCCCCATTTGCCTTCCACAAGAGAATCCTGTTCACTTTCTACCATGACTCATTGTCTTCCATAGGTGAGACTACAAAAGTCAGCAGAGTCCTGTACAAAGAAAGAGAAGCAGCTGATCAAGGTGGAGGTCATGTGTCTTTTCCTGTCTGCCCAGGACACAAATGAGAGAATTCCAAAGGTCTTAGAAATAGAACTGCTTGAGGTGTGGGTGGATATAGAACATCTGACAAATGAATTCCTGATTCTTGAGCTTGTAATGGGAAAGCCAACTTCTATTAAAAGCACTGCTCTTACCATTTCTTATACACTCTTCTACCTCTAATACCAGCGTTGAATCCCAAAACTAAGTTGCTTAAAACATCTCTTCATATTTCACCTGAGAGGTATATGGCAACCTGGGCAAATAATTTCCTTTACTGAAAATTAGACCCAGGCTCGGCACCTGTGGCTCAAGTGGCTAAGGTGCCAGCCACATACACCTAAGGTGGTGGGTTCGAATCCAGCCTGGGATTCAAACAATGATGGCTGCAACCAAAAAATGTCCAGGTGTTGTGGTGGGCACCTGTGGTCCCAGCTACTTGGGAGGTAGAGGCAGGAGACTTGCTTGAGCCCAGGAGTTGGAGGTTGCTGTGAGCTTGATGCCATGGCACTCTACCCAGGGGGACAGCTTGAGGCTCTGTTTCAAAAAAAAAAAAGAAAGAAAATTAGACCCAGCATTGTGACTGATGAGATGACCTCTTTGTGATGTGGTTGTCATCCTGTTCAGTAAGGAGTTGCTAGGCAACCAGCCAATTGGCCAGTACACCAGATAGAGTCCCAGAGAATAGCCAAGGTTTGGTTCTGATTTGACTCACGGGGTTTGTTAATGTTCTTTCTTTCTAGACAGAGAGTGACTATACATCTGTGTATCAGCTCTGTGAAGACCAGGCCCGCTACATAAAGGTATCTCACCTTTGGGGGTAAAGTCACAATAAAGGCAGAATTTCTCCAAGGCCATGGGTTCCTTGATGAGGAACTCATGAGGCTAGAATCTTCCACTGGTGAACGTACTTTTTCTCAATGACTTTGTCCAATAACCCTGTGAGGATGACACTGATGTGATCTTTCAAGGAATAAGGAATATGCTCTGGGGAACACAGCTAGTAAATGTCAAAGCCAGGATTTGAATATAAGCAGGGTCCAGAGTGAGAACCCTTTTATTCTCATGTATTCATTTTGGTCACTAAAAGCTCTCAATTTTTTATTAGAACACCTTCCTACTTGTGTGTTCATACTGATGCATGGAAAATACTTAGCAAAATATTCTTATAGATGACATTGTAATGAAATATGGAAATTCTCGTTTATGATTTAATATTAGTTTTCATTTCATGAAGAGAAATACCAGGAAATTCTGAGGCATATAGAAAAGGAAAAGGAGGTTCTGCTTCTTGATAAAGAAATGTAAGTGTGGAAGAATGGCCTCCCTGATGGACTGAAGTGACAGTCCTGGGTGGTCTTCAAAGGGCAGAGTACTTCTCAGAGCTGTGTGTCACTGTATAAATGGCCTCCAACAAACCATCTCTGTCAGCTTCCAATCCATGCTATAGCCTAACAAAACCACCATGCAGCCTTTTCTTTTCTTTTCTTTTCTTTTTTTCCCAGACAGAGTCTCAAGCTGTCACCCTAGGTAGAGTGCCATGGTGTCATAGCTCACAGCAACCTCAAACTCTTGGGCTTAAATGATTCTCTGGCCTCAGCCTCCCAAGTACCTGGGACTACAGGTGCCCACAACAATGCCCAGCTATTTTGTTGTAGTTGTTGCAGTTGTTGTTGTTTTAGCTGGCCTGGGCCAGGTTCAACTGGCTATCCTTGGTGTATGTGGCTGGCGCCCTAACTACTGAGCTATGGGGCCACCCATGCAGTCTTTTCTCTTGCCTTCCTCATCAGTTGGTGTTTAAAAGTTTTATTTATGTTTTATTCATCTGTCCTCAGCTGAGTACCAATCCTAAAACTGATTCAAGCTATGTTCAGACAGGGAGAACTATAGGAAATAGAGGCTCAATGGCCCAGAAATGTTTCTCCATATCCTTTCCCAGCACAACATGGTGGACTCACCTGACTGGTTGGGAGACAGACTGATGCTCTTTTTTGCTCTTTCTGTAGATTGTATGTCTCAGGACTTAACCACGTTTTCCCTTGGTTTGATTATGTTGTCAAACTATTATATAATACCCATAGAATGCACAAATCATAAGTATATAAGTTGCTGAATTTGTATACTTCTGTATACACATTTTAACACCATTCAGATCAAGATACAGAACATTTTGACTGGCCCTCCTGTTAGCTAATATTCTTTGTTAGCAAGAATAACCATTACATTACATCACATTGATTTGCATCATTTAAAATTTTTTTTCAAACTTTATATAAATCCAGTATGTTTTTGTGTGTCTACCTTTCACTGGGATTCACCCACATTGTTGTGAACCATAGCTGTGGTTTGTTCTTTTTCATGGCTGTATAGTATTTCATCATATACATATGGCACATTGTATCTATTCCACTGCTAATGAACATTTTGGTTAAGAATGAATCACATTTCCCAGGTTCTCTTTGTAAATTTTAAGCAATTATTGATGTTGAATGTTGAGACAATTATCAAGAATTTAGGATATGAATCACTGATGTTGCATGAATTAATAAAGTACCTTTTAAGCACCCCCCCCACACACACACCATTTTATATAATCCTTGGCTCTGATTTTTTTCCACCCAGATACAAAGCCCAGAATAACTTTCCTCAAGTAGTGAAACGTGGGTCCATTCTGCTAGAGCTCTCCAAAGCAGCATGGTAAGTCGTCCCTGCCCCAAGTTGATGTTTTCCTCTAGCCTTTTCCTCCCACTCTCTCTCCTTTTTTAATAACCCCAGACTTAGGGGATAATAAGGTTCAGTGCCTTGCTCCACACATGGTGGCTAGGAAGTGACAGAGCCAGGATTCAAACCACGCAGCCTGGCTCCAGGGTCTCCGCTCTTCCATCACTGTAGTTTTCATTGCTTCCCACAGGAGAAACCCGCCATCAAGAAACCAAAGAGACTCTTTTGGCACAGGTAAGTGGAAGGGTCTCGGTTTTACCCAGTCTAGACCCCATTTCACTCGACAGGTAATTTGATAAGGGCAAGAAGGGATCAGGTTAAACACATCTGTTGAACAGAAAACATCAGGCCCCTGATTTCTCAGACCCTTTCCTTCCTTTCTCAGCACAGAGCCATAACACCAGAGTTCCGGTTATAAATAGGAAGACTCGGTGGCCGTTTCTGAGGAGTTCAGGGTGAAGGCTGTAGATTTCATTTCACTGTTATTTTCCATTCTTACGATTCTCTGTGTGGTCATTTTCCATTTTTCAGGTCCTGAACCTTGTAACCTCTGCTATATTCTTTGTTGGGAGAAGAAGCACATTCATTTTCTTAGTTCTTGTACTGTAGACTGCAACATTTCTGGGGGAAAAATCACCTGACTTCCTTTATGCCTTTACTTTTTATATTTTTCTCCCTTTGTATCTCCAACTTTTCTGTTTGGACATCTATTCTGTTGGAGGACATCAAAGAGGGCTGTAGTCAATTTCTGAGCACCATATTACTCTTTCCTGGATTCACCTGTTCCCCACTCTCACCCTCTGTGGCCCCATCTCCCACTTTCCCCACTAGTTTTCCCTGAGGAAAGCAATTCACTAGCCATTTATGAGGGTGAAGTCAGCCTCCCATGGCCTGACCTTGGGCTGTCTTTCCTCAGGTGCCAATGATGAATGTCTCTTTGCAGGCATTTCCTGTGGCTTGTCTTCATGGCCATGATCTTCATTGTGCTGCTGGATTATGTGTTTTTCCACCGGCAGGACATAAACCGAGACCTTCCTGTGGATGCCCTGCCCAGGGTACTGAGCAGGGGCGCCTGGAAGAGGCTGAGGGACATCTTATTTCCCTTCCTTACTCTCGAGGTGGAAGAAGCTCAACCATACTAGAGGGGGTGTGTGTCCCCCACACCTGAGCGCTGTGGCTCCACCTAAGTGGAAACCTTTGATGGAGCTACACTTTGATATCTGGTCTTTTCACTTTATTCTTGCCTTGTTCTCCTTTCAGAGTCTCTCTTTCAAATAAAGAATATGTTTGCCCAGAGTCTACTGTGTCATTCTGTGAATTTGGCCTGGGAAGTCCTGGGGCCTTGCTAGGCACTCACAGGTTCCACCCTGTTGCTGTTGAGAAAAGCTGCTCTTAAGGTGAGACAATGAAAACTCCCTACAGGAATTCCATTCTATTTTCATATTTTTAAAACAATTAAAGAAGATAATCATGTGTTCTTTTATTAGATTCTCCGGTCTCTCTGGGGTTGCATAGGGGCATTCAATGTAAACCCACTGGGGCTTCTTCGAGTTATTTGAGTAACACTTTACCATTCTACAGTCCTTTTTATTTTATATTATACTGTCTCATAGGAGTGACTTGGGGTGCTGGCCTTTGTGGTGTACACAGGTGGGGGTTACTCATTCTTAAATGAGGAGAAAATTACCCTGAAATTGAAGTGTGAATAAAAGGCAGTGTGTAAAACCAGAAAGTCTCCAGACACGGCGAAACACATTTGTACCAACCTCTTGGTCAAATCCCACCTCAAATATCATCAGTCCTCTGAGGCCTCCTCTGACCCCACCTGCCTGGAGACAGCCCCTCTTGCCTCGCTAGCTTCTCCGGGTTTACCGTACTGTCCTGTCCACCTCGGCCTGGTAATGTCATTACTATGTGCCCAGACCTTAGCTTATGCCCCTTATTTCTGTATCACCCTACAGGGCCCCTTAGCACAGTGTCTTTACAAAGCAGGACTCGGCAAAAGGGAAAATGATTCTTTGGATAGTTTGTCTTTTCCAAAACATCTAGAATGGGACAGCTGGGACTCTGAACCTACATCCTGTAATGTGACGGCCCGCACGTTGGGGTGTTAACAGTGAAGAGGGAAGAGAGGCAGAGGGAGGCGGCATAAAGTACAAGGTCATTGGCCAGGTGTGGCATCTCCATGGCTCCCAAAGCTGAGTGGTGGAGGCGCCTCTGTTGGCGAGTCCTTCCTCCTACACGTTCCCCACACTCTTGCTCCCTGGTGACCTTTTCTCCGTTAGAGACCATTCCTGAGGCAGCTTGTAATTGGCCTTCACTTGCACAACGGCGTCGGAGTGGAAGAGACACTCTGCATGTTTGCTTGGCCGTAGACGTGGCTCTGTCCCACGTTTTCTTTCTGAGGTCTCAGGGAGAAGACAGCGAACAATCTGAGAACAAGGCGCCTACAGAATGAAAGACTGGTCAATGCCGCCCTCTTGTGGCCGAATGAAAGCTCTTTGCATTTCAGCGGGCTTCACCCAGAGGCGTGACCTGCAAACCCAAGCGGGAAAAATAGATCCGACAATTCTGTGGCATTCTAATAAGTCCAATTAGTCTTCATTTAGTCAACAAACATTTACTGAGCATCTTCCTTGGGCTATCCAGTGTTCTAGATGCCGGTATTATAGCAATGAACAAAACATAAAAATCTCTGTTCACACTTCAGTGAGTAGAGGCAGACAATGAATACAACATGTAATTAAGTTCACAAACACCAGATGATGTTAAGTGATATACCAAAGCTAGATACAAGAGGGGGAGTGCTGAGGAGCAGAGTTCCAGTTCTGAATGACTTGAAGGAGCCAGATTTATGGGGGCGATAGTAATTATTTAATGTGTGGTCTGGAGGCAGGAGCGTGCCTGGTGCCTGGGCTGGTGAGTCTCACCTCGCTGTAATGGTCCCTGTGTCAAATAAAGTCTCTTCATTGGGAACCTTCCAGTTGAATGCTGGTGCCTTCCAGGACAGGCCTGGGTGATACACTGTAGGCCAGCTGGTGTATTGCTTTGGCTGAAGGGGCTCTCAACACTCCGGTGATGCTAACACTACAGGTGCAAGTGAAGAGACTGGCTGCAGCTGGCCCAGAGATGTACTCACAGTCTCCCCTGGCCCATTCTCCCATGTCACACAGTCGCTTAAAATCTCATGTAACCACTAGCCTTAGGTTGTCCCCTCCTTCTAGTCTTCCACAGACATCCCTAGACAGCCTTAGGCTAGTCTCAACTCAAAGTTCCAGACTTTCTAGAAAACAGCTGCTTGGGAAAATGTGGACTGGGGAGCTCCTCACTTGCAGCCAGCGATACAGCAGGGATTTGGAATCTTGAAACTGTTAGGCGTTCACCTTGCTGAAGCACAGTGGCGTCCAAGTGGGAAGCTGGCTCCTGAAGGGCCTGGATGGCCTTCCCAAGCCTTGGGAGTGGGATCACTGCTGCTTTCTGTGAGCAGTTGCCGAGTTGGAGATCTCACTCCCAGTGAGGGGGAGCTCACCACTCCCAAAATGGCCACCCTTTTCTGAGAGGTTTTGACAAAATATAAAGCACCTAGCACAAGGCGCATGTGGTGGGCATTCGACCAGCACTAGCTTTCTCTTGCACATGGTAGATAAAAGTTTGCCTTCATCTACTATGACTTAATCTTAGTTCTGGCTTATCATGTGACGCAGAAAAATGACTGCCTCTTTCACACGTTGGTCCCTAAAATTGAACAGCCTTCTGTTCTCCAATTTGAACATTCCTGAGTCCTTTGCTCTCGTGACACGGTTTTCAGATCGTGCATCATCTCACTTCTCCATCCCTGCACACCCACGGAGCCGAGCAGCACACAGCACTACAGATGCTGTCCGACTGGCAGCTATGCCAGCCCCTCCCTCCTTTTATTCTGAGTGCTATGGCTTTGCTAATACTTCCTGAGAGCTCACCAGCTGTGTGGGCACCTGTTTCACACAAAGATATGAGCTTGGAGTCTACCAAGGTTCCTAGCTTTTGAGCATGAATTATTCTTACTTTATGTCTTTGGTATGTATTTATGCAGACTGAAAAAACCCCTAAAAACACTGGCTCTGCTACATTTCACTGTGATGATTTCGATGCTTCATTGTATTCTGCTGCAATCGTTCAAAAACCAGATTCTGTGAAGGAGGTAACTAGCCCAGTTAGTGATCAGAAACACCTGGGAGAGGGGAACCTGCTGAACTTTGGATGCAGAGCATCTTGGCTGTGAATTCTCCTTTGGTGTTGAAATAATTGTTGACCTTGGGCAACTCATTAACCCTTTCTTTTAAGTAGTTATTAATACAGCCCTCTTCCCCAGGGAGCCTGTGAGTTCCCTTAGTATTCTCAAATTACATTTCTCTGGGCCTGGTGGATTGAATTCAATTAAATAAATTAGACTTCTCTATCTTCCCACCTATCTTAAAACTGAATTACCTATTAACTGTTTGGACTATCCTTATTATGCTGAAAATAGAGCCTTGATAGAGAAGGCTGATGTGATATCAAACTCTTATCTATCAACGTTGTACCCTGTGCCCTAGGTAGTAGCCTATCCCTTTCATTTCTACTTAGTTCAAACACACTCAAAGGATCTTTAAAAAAAATTGTGCTCATCACATCTACTGGGAAGCCTCAGTGTTGTCTTGGAAAAAAAGCTCCAAACAAGAGTTAAGGCTTGGACCCTAATCCCATCTTTTTTTGTTGTTGGATTTTTCTCCACATGCCACATAACCTCTCTGGGTCTTAAAGTTAGTTTCCAGGTGATTTCTAAAATTATTCATGCTGATATTCTTTGACTATATAAACTATCCCATTCAGATCCTTGGGTGACTAAAAAACAAACCTTTTCCTGACGTTCTCCAAGCCCTCTTGGTACTCTTAGCCCTTTCCCAGACTGTCCTGTTCCCTAGAGGATGTCTCTGGAAGCTAGAAGTATTTCCAGTGTTTCTTTGTCAAAAGTCTCAGTGAGTAATGCCCCTATAATTCCTTTTCTTTTTTTTTTAATTAAATCATAGCTGTGTACATTAATGCAATCATGGGGTACAATGTGCTGGTTTTACATACAATTTGAAATGCTTTTATCCAACTGGTCAACATAGCCTTCACAGCATTTTCTTAGTTACTGTGTTAAGATACTTATATTCTACACTTAGTAAATTTCACATGCATCCTTGTAAGATGCACTGTAGGTGTGGTCCTACCAATTACCCTCCCTCCACTCATCCTCCCCCCTCCCCTTCCTTCCCTCTCCTCTTTCCCCTTCTTCTTGGGCTATAATTGGGTTATAGCTTTCATAAGAAAGCTATAAATTGGTTTCATAGTAAAACTGAGTACATTGGATACTTTTTCTTCCATTCTTGATATACTTGGCTAGGAAGAATATGTTCCAGCTCCATCCATGTAAACATGTAAGAGGTAAAGTCTCCATCTTTCTTTAAGGCTGCATAATATTCCATGGTGTACCTAAAAGTGAGTTAAGGGGCTCGGTGCCTATACTTCAGTGGCCAGTATGCCAGCCACATATACCAGAGCTGGTAGGTTGAAATCCAACCTGGGCCTGCCAAACAACAATGACATCTAAAACAATAAAATAGCTGGGCATTGTGGCAGGTGCCTGTGGTCCCAGCTACTTGGGAGGCTGAGGCAAGAGAATTGCTTAAGCCCAAGAGTTTGAGGTTGCTATGAGCTGTGACATTAGGGCACTCTACCCAGGGAGACAGCTTGAGACTCTGTCTCAAAATAAATAAATAAATAAAAAGTTGAGTTAAGGCATTCCAGGTAAAAGGCTAGTTCAGCAAACACTAACAAAGGTCCAACAGTGGATTTAGTCAGGTGTTCCCCTCCCAACTAAAGGGGAACAGTTCAAAAATAACAAATGAATCATGCTCACAAAGCCTCTCAATTTTGTGGCAGATCCTAGTCCTCAAAGTCAAGGTTTAAGGTAACTCTGAAGCTTCTCTGGGGTATAAAGGCTTACTTAAGGGGGGGTCTAACTACTGAACCCCACACTTATTGATCATCTACTGTAGTGCAGATGTTGTGTTAGATAGATACATGTGGTCTCCATTCGGTAGGGCGGTGAACTGCCTGAGATTACCTCGCTAGTGAG